CTCTCTCTCTCTCTCTCTCTCTCTCTCTCTCTCTCTCTCCTCCGTCCTCTCGCTCCTCACTCCTCGCAAACGCTCGCCTCATCTCGCTACGCCTTGGTTTTGCGCGAGTATCCCCGGATATTCCGAGATCGCGACAATCATCAGACCGTCACGGTGATCCTCTCGATCCTCCGCTTATTAATTAGAAAGGTAACGTGTACATAAAGTCGAAACTTTATACGCGCGGTACCGAACGCCGCGCGTATAAGTCGTGCTCTCGCGAAACGACCGATGTAGCCGACGTTAGCTCTCAATCAAGCCATAATCTCACGTCAACTCTCTCCCTCCCTCTCTCTCTCTCTCCCTCTCACAAATTTTCTCTCGCGATGACGCAGCCGGCGAAATATCTTTGGATATTGCGATCGTTAACTGAGATCAGGGTATTAGCGCTCGGTGACGTCGGAGCGAGAGAGAGAGAGGGAGCGAGAGAGAGAGAGAGGGAGCGAGCGAGCGAGAGAGAGAGAGAGAGAGAGAGAGAGACCGAAAGAGAAAAGCCAAAGGACACGCGCGACGCGGCAGGATAAGCCAGCCAGGTGGCAGAGAATGAAACTTCCGCACCTGTATAACGGTCTATGTACTTGGACCCTCGTTATACGTATTACGAGGGCACGTAGTGCAGCTCGGTTTGCAGGAGCACGTTCGCATGCGGCTCACGTGCCTGGATGGATTTTGCATGTTTGACCTGGGGCTACGTCGGGAGTGGCGGCGAACGGGCGTCTCGTTTCCGGTTACGGCGCACAGGTGCATCTCGAGATGCAGCGTAGCGTCTTATCGCGAGAATTTGCTTCTCTTCGTCCCTACCGTCCCCCTCTCCGTCCTTCACCGTAGCTGTTTCTTTCCGGTTCTCGTAAACAGTTCCGACAGAAGCGAGTCGCACCAATGACGATCGGATGGACAATCGCCGTCGAATACACTCGGCTCTCCCTAATCACTTCCGCACGACACACCGGTTATAATTGGCTACGGGATATGCGCGTTTATGCGCGACGAGTGCTCGCTCAAATGCGACGCTCGCGAAGGGGAAACCTGCCATTGCGCCGCTCGAAACCACTCAAAGTGGCTTGTGAATTTTCCCATGGATATTATATGCGCGCAGCGCTTTTATGAAATGGGAACGGGAGAGAGGGCGATTTCGCTTCGTCCCTCCTCCCCCTCTTTCTCTCCTTCTCTTGAATTATAAATTATTTGGAATAAAAGAGAGATGTTGAGGTGTGTTGCTACAAAAATCCATATAGAGAGGGAAAAATTTACATCGAAATAAAAATATCTCGCGAATAACGTGCAGGCTGTACGGGATGCGTGTATTTGAATAACGTGTAAACGAAACGACCACACATTCGCGCTGCGTGTCTCCCTCTCTCTCTCTCTCTCTCTCTCTCTCTCTCTCTCTCGAATTAACATTGTCGTCCGGACCTCATCTACGAGACGTACTTCAGACAAACCGCTCGCTTACGCAAGTCGACGAGTACTCATTCTCGCCATGCCACGCGCTTCAAATTGTGCGTCTCTTGTGCGACCGAATTGCAAAGAAATTGGAACGCGCGCGCACACACACACACACACACACACACACACACACACACACACACACACACACACACACACACACACACACACACACATACACACACACACACACACACACACACACACACACACACACACACACACACGTGTTATGCAGACTCGCGCGCTCGTACCTGAAGCGATCGCGATTACAGGTGCGTGCGCCGGTCGCTTGTGTGTGTGCGCGCGCGCACGCGCAGTAACCGCATGTCGTTTTTTCGCCTGTCCATTTCCCGGTGAAATTTTAATTGTCCTTTCAATCAATACGCCGCGATTTCTCTTATACCCCAGCAATACCACCCCATTATAAAGCCGTTGAAAAGATTTGCGGATTGGAAAACCGCCGTCGTGATTAAAAAAGGACAAAAAAGAAGCGAAAGGGAGAGAAAGGGTTCGGTGCAGGGCGGGTGAGCGCCGATATCGCGCCATTCGATGATTTTTTTTCCCCTAGCGGATGATCGGAAAAAAATCAATGCGATGACAATCGCGGAACGAAACGTTTCTCGTCCAGCAAACATTGGCCCGTTTAAATTATTCCCAAGATGCGATTGCAAGCGAAACTAACTAGCGGTATTAATGAATTATCAACAATGTTTGAACAAGCATCGCTCCGTGTCGCGCGGTGGTGGCTTTGCGAAATTTTCCGCGCGATGACAAATTTGGCATAGCGATAATCAAAATTCAAGCGGGCAAAACAGCAGGCAAATGCGGGAACTAAGGATGAGTCAATAGCGGTAGCTTCCGATATCCGACCGCGTATAAATTATTCATACGCGCTTAGTATCACGTACAAATTACGAAATACAACTACGGCGGCGTCGCAATCACGATCGCGCAGCGCCGATGCGTTTGTTATCGCCGCTGTGGTCCTCCCCTCTCTCAATTTTCAATTTAGGTACAGTTCACTCGGCCGAGGCCGACATTAATAAATCCAGATTACGGACGATGAACGAACTCGCCGGGATTTATAAGTTTAATGCCGCCGGGTACATCGATATTAGACTTATAAATTCGCGCGCGCGCGCCAGTTCAAGCACATCGTTTAATGACGTTGCACACGCGCGAACGGCGAAATAATCCCGAAACTGTCGCGCGCGATAGTCATCGAGCCGCTGAAAGCCCGTAAAACGCTGCTCACACGATCGACGATAATTCTTAAGCGCGATTATCAACGTTGCTCCATCATTATATTATATACATCCTTCGCACGTACTTTTGTCCTTTTCACATATACACACGCGACCGACGCCGTGTCTCTCCTTTTACCGAATTGATTCAGTCGCGGCAGACCAGACAATTTTCTGTATCGCGGATTACCGTGGCAACGTGTACGTGGCGTACGTGTCATCCCGTATACCCGTCGCACGGAGCACGGTGGAGAGAGAGAGAGAGAGAGAAGAGAGAGTACATACAGAGTTGTCGGATATTGAAAAATTGCCGAGCAACCGCAGCGAGAGAAGCGACGTCAAAGTGTTTAAAGGGAAAGCGAGCGATTCGTTCATTAAGCAACGGGAATGTTCGGCGGGAATCGCTAGCGGATCCGGCTATCCGGCATTAAATTTGGTTTACCGTAAATTAGAGGCGGACGTCGACGGCGACAGCGGTTAGCAGCTTTCCGCAGATTCGAGCCGCTGCAGCAACGCGAAGAGCGCGAGCACCGTCGGTTTGCCTCCTCCCGTCCTCCTTACCCCTCGTGAGGACTTACAATTAAAAAGTTAAATTGAAATTGCTCCGGCCGCGCATTAGATTGGAACTTCTCCCGTATATGCGCGCCGCTCGCGCGCATCGAGAATGCAGCACATGCACGGTAACGCCGGGCGACGTTGTCGCCGGCAGTGGAAAAGAATCCGCGGTATCAAAGTAACCCCCGCTATCAATGCGACGCAGCATCGTAATTACTGACGCGCGGGGGTCAGCCCGTGTGTCGCCCCGCTTCGCGAACCGTTCAATTTTCAGCGTCCGTTAATTCTTAAACAAGCGGCGGAAACATCCGCGCGCACGCGCGGATGTCATAATCTCTCCAAATTGCCTTTCTCGCCGTATAAAATATTCCAGCTGGGAAAATATCGCCCATATGCGCGGCGCGCTTTCCAGATAACCCGAGTCGAAACTTCGATTCTACGTCGCGACGTCCCTGCAGAGAGAGAGAGAGAGAGAGAGAGAGAGAGCACCGTCCGACTCTTGAAGGATCCACGGAGAATCTCGAGATACAGCATTATACTGTACAAACAGTTGCCTATTGTCATTGCCGTTTTCTCCATGTTAAAGATTCACCACTTACGCTACGACAACGTGTGCTTGCAACCGGCTTGATAGCTTTCCTCTATGCTATGTAACAACAACAACAACAACAAAGATATACCACGCACGTGCCGCGTGTTTACTGCCTTGAGAAACTCGCGAGGTCACGGATATACAGCGGACTGTTCGAGAAATGCTCAAAAATAATAATGTTGTATCGTCTGTTTTATATAAAAACTGTGTTTTATATAAAATATTAGGAAAAGTATCTCAGTGAGAAATTTTACGCACGCGTTACCGGCGAAAATGGTGAGATTCATTATGTAACTTATTTAATTCAACCGCAGATGGAGAATACTCGATAAGCGAATATTAAGTAATCTTCTCAAAACGGATAATGGGGATAAATAAATCATTGATCGGATGAGGGATAACGAATGTTTCCTTCTTGCAATCTTTTTACTTATCTTTCATTTTGCTGCAAAATTTAGATAGGTTTGAAGCCCTGAAAAGGACCACAGAGGAAGGAATTGTGGAGAGAAAAGTTGGATGTGTGTCCAATAAAGTCGCGTTTAATATAGGTAACATAATAAAGATTTAAATTCCAATTCGGCACACTGATAAAATTACACGTAAATTAAAAAGCATTGACAAACGAATTCGAATTGAACTCGCAGCATTTTATTAGATACAGAAATTGGTATTTGCGATTTTATATCAATATTTTAGCCGGTTGTTCATACTCGTTATTATTTAACGATCAATTATAGTTTTATGAATATGGCTCTCTCTCTCTCTCTCTCTCTCTTTCTTTCTCTCGATCCGTATATTTAATAACAACAATAATATATTGCGCACGCGTCATGATGTCTTTCATTTAAAAATTCATCCCTTCATTTCAAAATCTTCATTTATTTCATACTAAAAATATTGTATATTGATCCAAACCGTTAAATTGCTGTGAGCGTAATACGAACCCATAGTTAAATATGCTCTCAGTGAAAAATCCTACATAATTTACGACTATGATACCGGCCTAACCAGTGGACTTTAAATTTCGACTCGGATGTATCCTAATCCTGATTCTCAGTCAAGATCGTCCGCCAAGATCGTAAACGATAAAGAATGCAGTACACGTGGAAATATATATGTACCTGAAGACACATGATGCGTCGTTGTCCGCGTCTCAGTCCGCCCTGCTTCCTCGGTGCTGTCCTTCCTGCATCCTGGTTACCCCGGCTGTTTCGTTCGGGCAATATCACTGACACTCGCGACGTACGACTCGGTCGAAGACACGTAATAATTAATGCAACACCGACAATTACTTCGCGCAACATTCGCGGCGAACACGTCGCGACAACAAAATGGTCGACGGTCCTTGTAACCAGAAGCCTGCTCCTTCCGGCTCCACTTTATTGCACTTTGTGTACTTAAATTGAAGTAAGTGTACCTTGTACACGTAAAATCACATAGACGTTTGCTCTGTACTTTCTAATCAAGTGAGTATATATTGGCAATTTAATGGAAAGAAGGAAGAGAGTCAACGATTGCGAGAGAATATAGAGAGTGCAGCTAGAAGGTACCGAAAGAGCAGCTCTGCAGCCTCTCTCGCCGCGACGTATCTTTACACACGAAATGGTTTATAATAACAACTCGCATACCGATACGTACACTCCGCATCGCTCGACGACCCGGGCGTGAATGACATGGCGAAGGACATGTAAAGGGCCTTTGTATTAGGTAAATCGGAAAGTTCCGTCCGTCGAGCGGCAAGTAGCTGTAGCTAAAATCGTCGTTAACCTCTAATGTCCAAACGAAGAAGCTTAATGGGGTTTGTTTTGACATCTGTCAATTCAGTACATTCAGTACATAAAGGTATAATACGTTTGCATCAATAACATTGTTTCTTACTACATCGAAAATGTCGAAATTTGAGCCAAATAAGTTTTGGCTCGAGTCATTTGTACGTCAAAAGTGTCAATCTTTTGCTTCAATTGGAAGAAAACTGCAGCTGAAGCTCATCGAATGCTCGTAGAAAAGTTTATGATGATAATGCTCCTTCCGATAAAACATGCAGAGTATGGTTTCGACGCTTTAAAAGTAGCGATTTTTATGTAGAGGACAAAGAGCGTTCTGGACTGCCAAAAGAGTATTCGAAGACGAAGAATTGCAGGCATTGGTGGACGAAGACCCATGTCAAACACAAAAGCAACTTGCAGAAGCATTAAATTGTGCTCAATTTGTCATTTCCGATCCGTTTGAATGTCTTAGGAAAGGTTTACAAGGAAGGAAAATGAGTCCCATATGAAGTGAAGCCAAGAGACATTGAAAGGCGAAAAACCACCTTAGAAATTCTGCTTGCTAGGCAACAAAGAAAGGGGTTTTTACATCGTATCATCACTATGGGGATGAAAAATGGATTTATTTCGACAACTACAAACGTCGAAAAACTATGCGACTAACTTTGCGATCCCGGTCAACCCTCAACATCGACGCCAAAGTGGAATATCCACGGAATAAAGGCAATGCTCTGTACTTGGTGGGATCAGAAGGGTGTGGTGTACCATGAGCTGTTGAAAAGTGGTCAAACAGTCACAGGGAACAAATGATCCGTTTGAGCTGAGTATTGCACGAAAAACGACTAGAATATGAAACGAGACAGCGATAAAGTGATTTTGCTTCACGACAACGGTCTCGGCCTCACGTCATCAAATCTGTCAGGGAAACGTTAGAAGCACTTCGCAGGGAAGTGTGTTACCCCATGCGGCGGCTTATTCACCAGACTGTGCCCCTTCCGACTACCACTTGTTTCGGTCGATGGCACACGCACTTGCTGACGAACGCTTCAATTCTTATAAAGACATCGAAAAAATGGGTCGCTGACTGGATAGCCCCCAAAGATGAGTTATTCTTTCGCCGCGGAATTCGCTTGCTGACCGAAAGATGGAAAAAAGTCGTCGCTAACGATGGACAATATTGATATACTTTTTCATTTTGTTTCTTAAATAAAGCTATACGTTTTGCAAAAAACTTTCCGATTGACCTAAATTAGCGTAGAATAGCGTTAACCGTAATCGTAATTTTAATAGTTTCCAACACACGCAATTAAATAGAGTAACGCAATGAAAATTTTAGGTATATTTGTACAACATGTGAAGAGTAGAAAAATTTTGTTTATTAACAAATACTCGTATAAATATACGATATATATAGCTGAAATATACTCTCCTTTTTTTTTTTTGCAAGTTGTCATTCTTGCAGTAATATCTCGGCTCTCGATGGTCCGATCAGAGCGAATTTTAGCTAGAAATCTTAAAGAGACTTATCATTATCCGGTGAAGCACTATAAAAAAAAATCGAACATAATTAATAAAATGGTAGCTATTATTAGGAAAAAATTCAAATTTTTCAGTTCTTTTACAATAAAAAAATTAATATCTCGAAATGAAATATTTTGACGGAGTTGTCCATGGTTCACCTGAGAGCCAGATAAACAAATGTTATTGCTTTAAAATTTCAAATCGAATACGAAGCTCAATTTCGGAGAAATCACTGCAAAAAATTGAACGATAAAATTTCGAGAGAAACGCGTTTAAAATTTAAGTGGACGTATATTTATATGAATATTTGTTGATAAACGAAACTTTTCTACTCTTTATATGTTATATAAATATATCAGAAATTTTCATCCTTGCACATTTATTCAGCTCGTCACAAAATATTATCCAAAAAACAAGCACGATTTTTCAATAATACGATCCTCCAATCCTCTTAAGCGACGCGCTCGAGGCAAGAAACAATCGGCGACAGAGTCGACGTCAACGTCGCCGATATTCTTAGGCCGAGAAATGAAAATTTCTATTACTGCTTTCTGCGAGCACACGCAACTATTAGCCTTAGGACTGCCCTTTCTTCTTACCGCTTTTTATAACGGATTATAACGTTACCGACATTTTCGAGGTCGGCGGAGAAATGATAATGAAACGATAATGAAAAGATCGCGGGAACAGAACGTCCGTTGTTTCACTTAAATATTCTGTTTGTGTGACTTCGTGTTGTAAAATATTCCATATTCGCTTATCGCGCTTATGTTGTATATCTGCAGTTGAGCAGGTTGCATGATTAATATATCGCTGATCGAATAAAGATTAAATGCCGACGTAAAGCAGCGGAATGTTAATAATTCGAAGTATCCATTTTATACAAATACAGCGTGGAATCTGCCGTCTCTGTAGAGGCTTCCAGCAGAGGCTTTCTCGTGGAATTTATAGAGTTGACGTAGAGGCAAAGCTTCGACTCGCAGAAATTTTTCACATGAAACACGTGAAATCTATTTCTCGTAGGTTCGAGAGCGATGTGAAGAAGAAAAATGAGGGACGAAAATGGGAAGAGGCCGAGAACGCAACGCGATTTCGTTTGTCTGGAAATTTTTTCTGTGAAACGCCGCTGCGCGCGTGGCGATGTCCAAATGATAGATATACGTTTCAAAGTGACGGGAAAATTGTTCGACAATGCTGGTAATGTATATTCAACTTAGCAGAAGAACTTACAGAACCAACAGAAAAGAAGAAGTTCGCTGTGATTGATGATTAATTAAATAAACGAATAATTGTATTCGAGCACCGACAATATCCCGCATTTCTTTGCTATTCCGGTCGAAATTGCACGTAATAGTGAACTGCGAAATATAAAGAGACAGTCTCGAGACGGGCGTGTCGAGAGAGTAACATGTTAACATTTATTGATTTAATATCCGAGACGCGCGACAGATATTCCGAGAAAATATACATGTTTCTTCCGCCGTGTCGTTAGGAAAAGGAGATGCGTCACGCTTCCGATGCAATTTGTTTCGCGTTGTCATGGCTTTTCCGAGCAGCGACGTTTCGCCGCTGGATTCGCGCGTGCTGATTTTTATTTCAAAGCTCGAGGCGATCGCGCTTGTGTAGTGCGGTACGACGTCGCGTTTATTATTTAAACAGTCGCATCGCGGAAACGAAACAGGATTCCCGCGGAAATGGAGAAAACGAGAGAGAACGTCACTCTGTATGCAAGTCCGCTGTATGTCTCACTTGCGATATTTTTTAACAGAGAAATGCACATCAAGATCGAAATATGTACGCACGCACGCACGCACGCACGAGCGCCCCCGAAAGCGCAACAGCCGCGGCCGCAAATTTGCCGATCATCAGGGAGTAACTGAAAAAAAAAAAAAAGAAAAAAAAACGCGCGTCCTCTCGCGAAAGCGGCCCGCGATTTCGCTCGCGGACGCGACGCTAATGGAAATTTGAGGGAGCCCGCGGACGTTATCCGCGACGGGGGGAGGGGGGGAGGGGCTTCATCGGGGTCTCGCGGCGCGTGTTGTAAAAGCGGGTTAAGCAGAATATCCCCGTGCCGGGGCAAACACGATGCTCCGAGAGCGCCGCGGCGGGAATTGCCGCTTCCCGAATGCCGCGCAAAAGCAATTAAGCATTCGGCGCGTAATTTCGCGAAATTATCCGTTGTCCGGCGGAGCGCGAACAAGCCGCGGAGCGGCGATGTTATATCCCTTTGACGCGACGACGACGAAGATGGACATTCCCGATAGCCTAGGGAAAAAGAGGAGAGGAGAGAGCGACAGGCGCGCGTGAGAGAGGGAGAGAGGGAGGGAGAGAGAGAGAGAGAGAGAGGGACGTCGCACGCAAGCATAAACAGAGGGAAGAAGATAAATCGTCGACGCAATATATCATGCGTCAAAGGCAAGCGCAATATTTCGCATCGCATCGAAACAGAACTAGAAAACTCGTCACTCTCTCCCTCCCTCTCTCTCTCTCTCTCTCTCTCGGTCTCTCTCTCGGTCTCTCTTTGGTCGAGCGGTGCAGCAGCGCTAGTCGAAAATAAACTCGCGGCGCTTCGTACGCGCGCTTTTCTCCCTTTCGCCTCTCTTTTTCCGCTCGCTATCTGTGACGCGCGATGCGCGGCTGCGGCCGCGGCGGCGTCGTCGATGGGCTTTCTAGCGCGAGTTCCGGTGCGATGATCGCACTCGCGCGCACGCGCGCGGTATAGCGGGGCCGAGAGCGAGAGGGAAAGAAGAGAAATAAACGGGAGTTACAGCCGAGCGATCAAATTTCTCGCGTTTATCCCGCGAGCCCGCGCGCAGCTGCGGTCCGTCCTGGCGATTTTCGTTCTGTAATCAAGACACACCGTTAATGACCGTGTGTTACACGATACTGGTAGCGCGCGACGCGCCGTGCTTTTTATTATTACCACCCCGCAGCGCCGAATGTTATTACCGCGCTCGTAATTGGAGACTTTAGGGGATTCCGCGTTTACGCCCGTTCTCCCGTAATTCCCGCGTCGAGTATTGAACTTGTCGGTTTCTTTTAGCGTCGCCAGTCCCACGTACGTTCGTTGACTAACGAAGTCGCTTGGTCCCGCATCGCGGATAAAGTTACCGAGCGAGCGACTCGAGCCGCGTCTGTTCCTCAATGCGCCGCGCGATTTCCGCACGAAGC